ATATTCTATTTACCATTGTTTCATTATTCATTTTGATTTAAACTGTTTCATTTGTGGCACTTCTATCATTCTTTGCTTTTCAGACATTTAAAAGTACAAAAACTAGTCTAAAATGCTGACTAAACAATTATTATTTTTTATTATTATCGATTATCAAAACTTAGATATTTCAGCATTTAATTTTTTCAAATTCATGTGTTCTAATTGATATTAACACACACCAGACGGTTGCGTATTTATATAAACTCTGTAAGAAATGTTTGTGTGCACCAAGTCTTGTGTTCAAACTTTAATGTGCTAATTATATTATTTAAAAAAACATTCTCAGCCATGCAGTTAACCATCTTGTCTAAGTCATATTGTAAATCTTGAGTACAGAGACATGCAGGCTTKCTTTATATATAAAAAATAAACATATGCAAAAGATATCTTTTTTCTTTTTCTTTTTTTTTTGTGCATATGACAGTACTGCTTGACTTAGCCTTACAATTGCCAAACACATTTCAGAATGTTTTTTTTTTATTCCATCTGGTTATCATTAAAAGTATGCAATCTCAGTTGATGTACATTAAAAGTGATGGTTGTACGCAGGACATTGTCTGCTGACACAGATGACAATGAGAGACCAAAAAACACCTGGGGGCCTGGCGGCAGGTAAGACTGGCACCTGTCATCCATCTGGTTGTAACAGCAACCAGACCTCCGCCCGCCGCCACATCCTCTGTTAAATTGTTCATCTCTTGTTTTTTTTTTTGTTTTTGTTTTTTTTGTTTTTGTTTTTGGAGACTGTTCTTTAGGCTGTCTCGTAAGGCTGCACAGTTTACCAACAAAAACAAAAATGTGTTTATCACCTAAATGTTCTAAACATAAAGTTTGATCCTAAGACATCAATCATGGGAACTTCTTATTATGTAAATGTAATTGAATGAATATTTTTACACAAAAAATGTGATTTTTTTTAAATAAGTGCAGCTCTACTTTGTCCAAACAGCAGTCATTAAAAATGAATAAATTTATTTGTCTTTGATCTCATTGTCATCTCTCTGTCAGCATGATGTCATCAAAAAATTGTTTTTGGCCAAACTTCAAAATGCTTGATTCAAGCAAAATACAAGCTTATCTTTATAAGTTGCTGCTTTTAAAAAGCTTTGTCAACCGTTTTCTGTATTTGGCATTACTTTAGCCTGTCGTTATTATGTTTTCATTATGGAAAAGTCTGCATCCGTCTAGACCAATACAATGGCATCCAACAGTCTTAAAAATAATTTCTTCACATGTCAATGTAAAGTAGTAGCTTCAGTGAGAACCTAGATGTGTGTGTGTGTTTGTGTGTGTGTTTGTGCACATGTGTGTGTGCGCGCACTGCAGTTTTTCCTGCCATGGCCCATTTGTCTGTAGAGTATCTATAATACTGTCAAACCAATTATGTGTACCATATTTCATTCTCCCAATAAAATGAAACTTTTTGCACCAACAGCCACCACCAGTGCAGTGATTTAAGCTACTGCCATGCAGGGAGGTCTGCGGGGTGTGTTGATGTGTGCACTTTTGTAAAGTAATGGGTTGAACATGTAGGCTAGGCTTAGTGGCTCCCCAGGGCTGGATTTTTACCAGTGCGCTCTCACACGCACACATACACGTACATGCACTTTTAATGAGGTCAGAATCAAACAGCAGCAGCAGCACTCCCCGCAAACAATTCCACGGGGTTTGAGAGTAAGTGATTAGATCTAACTGGATTAGAGGACTTGATTATCCAAAAATGTAATCTCCTTCAAACAGAAAAATAATGAAGGGGTAGTTAGATTTTATAATGCATCCATTTGAACCTTTGCATTATATTTATCAAAATTCCTAATTCAAACAAACTAATTGGTCATAAATATACATATTTTGAAATATTCATGGAGAATGTCAGGCTGCATACAGACAGTCTTGTGAGTCCATCATAAATTAGCTGATTGTCTTGGTGCCTGTTTTCACTACTCGCTTCAACATTATCTTTATCATCCTGTAACTGGTGGGTTGCTGGTTCAATCTTCCATTCTGTCCATCTCAGCCGTTCTGTCATTGTGAGAGACACTTCACCCGTCTTGCCTGCTGGTGGTGGTCAGAGGGCCCCATTGTGCAGATGCATGGCAGCCTCACCTCTGTCAGTTCAACACATTCTCACTCCCAACCTGTCACAAATTGACGCTTGTTCAGGTTCCCTCTGTGTAATTCACTCGCATCAGTTATTGACGAGATGAGAACAGGGAGGAGGTTCATTGTCATATTTTTGAAAAGTGTAGAAAATGCACAGCAACTAACTGTCCCAAACCCTAAACTTAACTTCTTTTAGCCCTAGACCAGGGCTATTAAACTGGTGGCCCGCGGGTGACCAAAGTTATGCCCGCCAGTTGGTTCATTCMTCTCTTAAGCCCAAACCCCTGGTTTTCTATTACTCTAAGTTCTTTTAGCTAGACATAGACATGTTTGGTATCTACAGAAACATCAGAACCTCGGCTACAAGCTGGTAAAAACCATATCTATGCACACTCAAGACAGCTAGAACTACAAGCAATTGAAGTTACAGCTATGAAWGTGACAATAAAATTGGTTTAAAATTTTGGCAAGTCAGAGATGTCAAAATAATATTTGTGTCAAATAGGAGGCATAATGTGTTTTTGTTTTTGATATTGTTGAATTATGACTACTTTTATGGGGTTCTGTATGTTGTATTCATGATTAAATGCAGCAAAATAAACCATTTCAAAGATAACAGATTTTTGTAATACTTAGTTTATTTACATAATGACTTTAATTGTTGGATGTTCGGCCCCTCAGCTGTTGACCTGCAGTAATTGTGGCCCCTGGAGTAATTTAGTTGAATAGCCCTGCCCTAGACAACCTATCCCTGACCTCACTACCTAAAATTAACCATTAACTCTGATTCCTAATAGTAACCATGGACCCCAATCCAAAGACCTTTGGTGGTGCGTCAATAACTGACACGTCGAAGGAACCTTGACATGCGTCAATATGTGATGAGTTGGGAGTGATAATGTGCTAGTCACTTTGCTTTAAAGCAGCTGTGGCTACATTGTAGCTTACCCCCATCAGTGTTTGAATATGTGTTTGAACGGGTGAACGTTTGTCCGTGGAGACTTGATAAAGCTCTAAACAAGTTCCAACCATTTTTTTCTTTCTTTCTTTCTTTCTTTCTTTCTTTCTTTCTTTCTTTCTTTCTTTCTTTCTTTCTTTCTTTCTTTCTTTCTTTCTTTCTTTCATCATAATCACTTTACAAAGAATGTGTTCATCAAAACATTTTTAAAAATTACTTGACCTAACTTTAATATAACTGACACCACTATTTCAGCTGGATTATGCTGTACAGCTGTAAAACAAAGTTATAAGTTAATTCATTAATTCAAATATTTGTGATTCATTTTCTTAGGCATGATTGGTTATTGACTCATAGATAATTTTGCCTGATTATTCCTGAACTGTTTTATCTCCTTAAATGTCTCTGCAAAATCAGTGGTGCTCAGTAAAACCGGTGCAAGTTAGGACACAATATTATACATAGGTCTAATTACTGATTAAAATGTAACTCGATTTCCTCAACGTTTTAGCCAGTAGTAATATATATCAATATATTTTTCATGTTTTTTAATTAATTAATTAATTTATTTATTTATTTATTTTTGGTTTAAAATGATCAAGCTCAGTAAATAACGTGTTTGTAAATATTTTGTAGGGAACGTTTAATTAAATTTGTAGAAGATTTACTTTTTAATTTGTGTTTATTTTCTCCCATGCCTCCTGCCAAATGATCCAAGTTCTAAAGGAATTTTTCAACATGATGCACATATAACTTTCATAAGAGTTACCTGCAGATTTTAAATGATGCTCAGCGCTTTGACCATTTTATATGTCCTGGTTATTTTTTAATCAAATCAGGTATTCTGCTTGCTGCTCCTTCTTCCTGCCTCCCTCTCTCNCTCTGCAAAAACTAGTTTCACACAAATTAGTTTATTTTACCATAAATTCCAATATATTTAAAAACTAAAATCTGCATGAGGAGATTGCCCAACTGTTGTGAGATAAGCTGAAATGAATCTGTGGAAAATTTGCAGTTTTTTTTATTTACATTTTCATCTCATTTAATTGAAAGTGACTCCACCGTAGACCTGAGTGTTGCAAACAATAAGTGGTGATTATGTGTGGAAACACAACAACAGGATGTTGTTGGATCCTGAACAGCCATTGTCAGGCTGTCATTCACAGCGTCAGTGTCAGGGCGATTAGCCGTGTGATGCACAGAAAGCAAAAATATGCAAAGATGGCTAAAATTTGTGTGATATTTCAGCAAGACAGATGACACAGACTGGAAAGCTCAACGCAGGAATAAACAAGACATCTGTAAACAACAGTGGAGCATCTGCTCACATGGTTATGAGACGGTTCTCTCTCTTTCTCTCTCTTTTTATTGCGAGAGTGCACTCTGTGCCTCTATTCTAATTGATTTGATTAATTCTGTGCCGATTTCCTATGGAGTCAAGAGTGCATAATAGAGCCTGAAAATTAGAAGCTGTTTTCTACAAGCGTAACGAAAGGTCTATATATATATATATATGTGTTTAATTAAATAAATAAATAAATGTATTTTGTTTGTTTGTTTGTTTGTTTGTTTGTTTTACTTTGTTAAAGATCAGTTCAGATTATACAATATTAACAATAGCAGAAAAGTTTGTAAAAAATCAATTAATTACATAGCATTAACTAATGTATAAAATGACAAATCCTGCATTGCATTTGGCAGGGCACACGTTTTGATCATTTCTAAATATTACAACAAAGTTTGTAGAACTGTATATCCATTAATTGTGACATTCATACAATATTGCTTCTCTTTATTTTTAGGACACGCCCAAAGGTCCAGTTCAATGGCTATGTCGGCCATGAGAGCTCCAATGGTCAGGCGTCATTTGAAAATCCGATGTATGACACCAACATGAAGCCCACGGAGGCTAAAGCAGTTCGATTTGATACAACGCTGAACACAGTCTGCACTGTGGTGTAGTGCAGCAAACCTGCCACTATCTGTAAAATGGTTCAACTACCATGTTGCAGTCCTGCAGTGTGGCAGAACCAAGCAAAAGAGAACAAGCAGACGTAAGATTTGGACTTTTCACCACGAGCAGCCTTTGTGTAACATGCTGGTCTCCTGTCAGCAAACTCTTCACAGCTCTTCTCCACATCCTTCCAAAACAATGGTAATATTCACCTCATTTTTGAGGGGAAAAACAGAAGAGAAAAGGTGAAACCAATTAACTAAGGAGTAGCCAACAATCTGATCAAACAACACTCATTTTTGGACTTTGATACTTAGACTGGAGTTGTTCTTAAGCACTGATCCATCAACTAGAAAAAAACACAACTTGATGTTTCAACCAGTTGAGATTTGGGCAACATCTAAAATGAATTGACACTAGCTTTTCATTAAGAAATCGTTGAACTATTTTGGCTCTTTAATACTTTCTGCAACGAAACAGTAGTTTTTTTTCTAATTTGGGCCTGATCCCATGTCAAGTTTAAGCAGTGGTACGAGTTTACTAATCTGTTATACTTCAGACCAGACATGCAGTAAATCTGACTGGTATAATGTTTTTTGTTGTTGTTTTTCCTCTGGGGAAGCTCCAGGACCACTCTATGTTTTTGGTTCCTTCCAGACACTGGATGGTTCCTGAACGTAAACATAAAGCATCATTGGTGCTGGACCAAAATTCTACCACTGGCCTTCCATCACTTTGGATCTGACCAGACTAAATTTTGAGATACAATGACATTTTAGAGATTCAGGGTTTTTTTTTTTTTCTGTAGAAACTAATGCTGGTTGTTTAGTCAGTTAAAGACACAGTTGAAGACCAAATGCAGTCAATGCAGTGACAAAATCAGTACCACCAAATCCTTTCAAGATTTTTTTTACTGTCATAAAATAGTGTCAAATGTACCTGGGTCAAATGGAAGGAGCAGATAGGTTTGGCATGTTCTAGCCCACATAAAAGAGCTGAGTGAGTAGCAGGACAATCACAAACTTTAATTTTGATTTTTTTAAAGGTTGTTTTAAATTTTCATTACCTTCTGCCACAGTTTTAGACTTTATGTCAACCCACAACACATTTCAACTAAATAGGCTGAAACACTGCAAACCATGCTTTATCTGTTAGTTATATTTCTGTGGAAATTTTTTTCTTTTACATTTTCAAATATTGGATAAGGGTATTCAACACTTTAATCAGTCACATGTAGTATTCCATAATAACAGAAGGCAGACTGTGTTGAACCACAATACCAGTCATTTGCATTGTTCTGTATTTGCAAACTATTGACTGGTTTCCAGAGCCTTGTCAAACACAATCAAAGATCCTTGTCCCCTGACTAGCCACAATTCTGTGCTTGGTGGCTTAACAAGTGGAAGCCTCGAGGCAATAAGCTGTCAGGAATGTCAACTGCTGCAATCAACTGTGCCCAAATCCAGGAAATGATTTGTCCTCTTGTTACTCTGGTTCGGACTACCAGCCAAGAGATGACTGATTCTTTTTTCTACAGTGTACTCTCCAGCCACAAGTTCAGAAATAGATCAACAGATTAGCAGACAGACTGAGAGACTGACAAAAACTGGACAAATGGACACAAACAAAAGTACAGTTAGTCACCTCTGTCAGTCAAAAATAATAAAGAAAGAGACAAGGACATGTTGGTGTGAAAACAGAGGCAAGGAGTTGTCTCTTTTGACATTTTTCTTCAGTGAAGATATTGATGAACAGACTCATATGTTCTAAAAACCCAGTGGCTCCTTGGGACTTCCCAAACTGCTGCTGCTGGGGACCCCCACTCCCCCAAAAAGAAGAAAAAAATATAAAGTTTATATAAATCGCACAAATTTTGCACTAGTGTGTGTTATTTTCTTTATACCTTTTTTTTTCCCTTTTTTTGTCAACTGATTTATGGATAAAAAAAGAAAATATTCTGGGTCTTAAATAACAAAACGAGTCTTTCAAAAAAATGAAAAGCAGTTCTATTGAAAAAATACATCTATCTTTAAAAAAGACAACCATTTGATTAAATACAGGGTCAGAGTGTGTTTGTATATACACATTTATATTTCTCACGCCCTGTTAGCAGGAAGGACTACATGTTTTATTATTTTTTTTATTTTTTTGTTACCATAACAATGTGACTGTCCACCAGAAAGTTGGGAAAGTTCACAATGTGGACAGCTGAGACAGGTAGTAATGGTGTCACTCAATTGTGGGCCATTTTCAGCTGTTTCTGAAAGCTTTGCTACAAAATGATAGATTTTTAAAAATCCACAAAAAGCCTCCAGTTTATAAATTCTACTACTGGCAGTCCCCTGCCTGGAAAACTGTAATCTGCTCATGTTTATGTATACATTTTCTTTAAAGAGTGGTAAAAATTGCCAGAATTAGATTTCAGAAACAGTTGGCGACCATTTCTCAAACCTTCTTTAAAAGGTAAATGTTCCTTTTTATATTTGCAGTTCATCTTTCCAATACATTGCATATCTGATGCAGGTTGTCCTGTTTGAACACAGCTTTTTAAAGAGCACGCACTGTACGTGATTGGTTTGAGAAGTGGTCAATTACGGCAAGGGTCAAATACACTAAGAAGACAACATGCACATTTAGACAAGTCCCCTGAGCTCTCCCTTTTTTATTTTGTTTAGGTTTTTTTTTTTTTAAGAAATACCTCGTGTTCAAAGAGAGTAAGTCAAATTCTGCCTCATAATGCTGGAACATCACTGCATCAAGTACACAAGCTTAGCAAGCCCCTTTTGTTCTTGTGACTCAAGTCAAAATGTTCTAGCATACATAAGACTGCTGAACCCAAGAAAATCCATCAGTTTTGAATCACTTACCAAGCTTGTTATTTCTTGCAGTGTCTTTTCAAAAATATTCCTATTTTCTAAAAGATGCTGCACTTGKTTTAGATAACAGATGTAACTGCTTTCAGTGTGTCTTTTTCATTGTTTTCAAGCCTGTTTTCCATTTCATATCGTACTAGGATTACTTTTACACATCCAGTTTACTTTAACCCGCAAAATGTTTTGTATGCAAAATGATATTTTTTAATTACATTTCCCATGCCTTATTATTCCACCTCAACACATGTCACAGTCACAAAGCATTGAATCTCATTTCATTCATTCCTACTTAGAGTATGACATTGTGCAAAAATATGGGCAGGAGTCAGCCGAAGAAACCTTTTGTGTGTGTGTGTGTGTGTGTGTGTGTGTGTGTGTGTGTGTGTGTGTGTGTGTGTGNGATTTTTTTGTATGTTTATGATATGTTCATATCTCTTATCTGCCTGTGTGATGTAAAATGTGGTTGAAATCAGAAAACATTTTTGCGTGAAATGTCCACAAACTTTGGATTTAAAAATTTACAAATTGTGGACTTTAAAAAAATTACCAATCATAAACGTTTTTGGAACATATTTTGATTCATAAGTAAACATTTGTAAAATTACATTTTTCATACAAATTCTAACTTTAAAGAAAGTAGAGAAACTGGGTTTTTTGCTTCAGTTGCTGCTCTGCAGCAGGAAGGTCGTTCCTCTTCTTTTCAATGTCAGCTACTGAACCTTGACTGGTTTCTGGTGCCTTATTTAAGCTGGTTAGGAGGTGGAATGGTGCATAATTTAATGCTCCTTGAAACCAGATTAAAAAAAATCCTTAACATGTTTTTCTTTTTAGTATTATTTCCACAAAATCTTTTGAAATACCTTCCAACAGGCGAATGGCTTCAGATGGTTGCAGCTAACAGTTTGTTTAGCACAAGAAGCTCTGCTGAGCTCAAAGTACTGAAACTAGAAACAGGAAATTACCTGAAAAACAGCTCATTGCATTATCTTAGCTTTAAAATAAATATATAGAGATGATCCACTATTATGCACAAAGACACACACACAAAAAAAAGCTTCAAAGTTGCCCCCATTCAAGCAACTTGACATAGGAGAGAAAAAATATCACTTAAAGGAAATAATCAAAACAGAAATTTGGTTCTAACCAAATTTGTCAAACCTTGAATCAAAGACATATTCAAAGGAAATCAACTACAACATTTTAAGTGATTGAATTATGAAGGACTTCAATGATATTTTATCAAAGTCACTATTGTTTATAATAAATATATTGTAATGTAAATTTAATATGGTTTTAAACATTTTACAAACATAAAGTTCTGTAATTATACTTCCCTTTTTTGAGCTGTATAAAATAAGGAATGAAATGTGTAAAATATTCAAACAGATCTAACGTTCTTCACCTATTTCTTTAAAATAAAACAGTGTGTTATTTATTAAAATGCCAGTTTAATACCTCTCCCATACAAGCACAGTCAGGGTGTTACATCTAGGCTAATGGTGGATGCAACATAAATGACAAATCCCAAAATATAGTATGAGTTGCTGATAAAATTACTGATTTGCAGGAGCCCTTTAGTAAAGATTGAATAATGGCTCAGCGTTACATTGATACGTATCTGTCTTCTGAAGTTCTATAGTTTAACAAAGTGTTTGCAATTAAAATGCAAAAAGAAAAAAAATCATGACGCCTTTGATGGTAAAGCAATTTGTTAAGACCAACACATGCTAAGTCGAGATCTGTCATGTTGATACGTTTGAACTCCATTATCTTCAGTTTCAGCCATTAGTCCAAAGACTGGCATCTCTTCTTTTATGATCAGTTAAGCTATGCTGGATGTTTTTATMTTTTCACTCTTTTGCAAACCAAATGGAAGATTCCTCCCTTTGAAATTCCGATACCAAGTGCAGCACAATTCTATCAACGTATTTGCCCCTGTTTATGTTTCACATTGGTGGGCTTTAAGAGTTTTTCCCATTGAAAATGCGTGATTGAGGAGGCAAACTCGTTTTTGTCTTGCAAATTTTGGCCCATGCTGAGAACAGTGCATACAATAACCCTCTGCTCCTTTTTGATGATAATTCCAGCAGCATAAATTGCATGAGTCAGTTCAGTCAAAGAACAGGTGCCTTTCTACATGTCCGCTGCAGATTTTATTTTATTCTCATCTGAAATGAAGGATTGCTGTGCTCCAAAGAAGTCAGAATATTTTATCTTTACTTTGAAGCAACAGTTCAAAGGTCTATTTTTGATCAGGAGTACAAACTGGACACAGGTTGATGAAAGCTGTTGTAGAATTGAAACCCCCCCCCCCACACACACACACACACACACACACACATAATTGTAGACAAATTTGATCTCCTGGGGTGCCTGAAAGATAAAATTTAGATTTTTTTATTTTAGTATGTCACAACATCACTGTACTAAAGAGGTCATGTTTGGCAAATTGACTGTGCACAAAGATTTAGTCATATTCAAAATGGTTTCAGTCTAATAGCAAGACTTGTACATTTTTTAATCATATAAAACTAGTCTAGCTCAAAATGTCATACCGGTATGAAATAACAATGCAAGCAAAATAAATAAAAACTGTTACACAAGTTATTTTTTTACGTTTTTTCAACTAAATAACATTATTTGGTTTGTGTGCTAAGGCTGCCAAATGTATTGGCTTGATTGATCAKTTTGTCTCCTCAGTCTGCCAAGAGTTGAGTAA